AATTTCTAGTTGTGACACATAGATCTGGACCCTTAGAGGTCCAGAGTGTCCCTTTACCCAAGTTTTTTGGGGATCAATGGAGGCTTTGGATTGGAATCCTCATGCCTTAGGTCAAAAACTCCATTATTGAGCTATAGGGTGTGTTATGAGCACCAAGATAGGAGCTTTACGTGATGAATCAGTCGAGGGAGGCCAGATCTATAGTTTTTGGAAGCAGATCTGACCTTAGAAGCGAGTTGGAGTGGTTGCATGGCATGGACTCGCCGAGTCTGTTCATCCGACTCGGCGAGTAGCTTGAAGATTGCCTTGGGACTGCTCAGCGAGTGGTCCAATCGAGTCATGGGTAGACTCAGTGAGTCAGGGTGAGTTGGAAAGGGATGACGAGTGGACTGAGTCAAACTTGGACTCGCCGAGTTGTCCTTGAGACTCGGCGAGTTGAGTCGGGGTGGCCCCGCGATTCATTCAGGAGAAACTCGTCGAGTAAAGGGGGGGATACTCGACGTGTAGTAAGAGGATTTCAGAGGGTTGGTGAAAACGTCTAGACTCGCCGAGTCGCCATGGTACTCGCCGAGTCCGGTCAGAGTTGACCGTTGACCGTTGACCAGAGTTGACCTGTGTTGACTTCTTATAGATAGTCAACCTTAGAGATATAAAGTGTTAATTAGAAACATATAATGTTATAAGAGGATTAGAGCTCGGAGGATTAGAGCTCGGAGGATCGAGCACGAGGGATTTCCAGGATTCGTGAGATACCGAGATACGCGAGGTGAGTCTTCTCACTATACTATATTACCTTGAGTAGGTAACCAGAGTTATGTGATAGAGTATTTGTATGCTATGTATGTTATGTGTTGTACTGCATTATTTCTATGTGATTTATGTAGTGCATGTTTATCAGAGCTAGAACCTGAGGGTTCACAGAGTTTGGGTGCACGGACCCACAGAGTTATAGCCTCGAGTGGCTAATATGTGTTATATGTGGTATTTTGGGGAACTCACTAAGCCTTGTGCTTACAGTGTTTGATGTTATTGTTTCAGGTACTAGTGACGACCGCGGGAAGGCGCCGGCTTGATCCATACACACACACTCGGAGTTTTTACATTGTGATCTTGGGATTTTGTATTAACCTATATTGGATAATTAATATGGTTGTTTGATGAATATTAATCGAATTATGTTTTATAAGAAAATCGAAAATTTTGTTTTGAAATTTACGGTGTTACAATTTGGTATCAGAGCCTTGGTTTGAGGGATTCGGGTACACCTTCGGGAGTATTTGAACTCAAACTGAGGAATTGGAAAGATATTTTCAAAAGAAAACCTAACTTTTCTAAGAGTAAAGATTTTCTTGAAAAAGAAACAAATTCCAGGAAGAAACGTGTGTACGATCAGTCAGCGCCCGAACGGTGAATTCCCAAAAAAAAACCTTTATATTACGTGATATTAATATTGATATGATGTATCTGCATGCTAGAGTAGGCTAGGTATTGCTAATAGGACTAGAGTGGCCTGATTTGTGATGCCTTAGCCTAGGGAGGGGTGAGCTGCTATGAGATGCTGAGAGTGAGTAGGTAGCAGCAAGGGGTTTATGAGAGATCTATTAGAGAGTGGTCTACGCATGATAGAGTACTTGGGAATTGGGATCCGAAGAGGAATTGTTTGGGGTGTGTACTGAGACGGTGTGGACAGTAGTATTGGGCCCGTACTACTGAAAGCACCGGGGCAGTACACAATCCAAATAAGAATCTTGGGATACCAAGAATCAAGGAGGGGTGGATTGTCGAGTGTAAGAATGTTCGAGTGAATTCTAATTTATTGCATGTTGTATTTCAGAGGTTGATCATGGTGAGGACACGTCATATGCCGGAGGGTGCTGGAGCTAGTGATGAGGAGATTCGACAGATCATTCATGAGGAGGTGGCTGCGGTCATCAGAGCTGAGATACCAGAGATGTTCGGGTCTATTAAGACTGCGCTGATTGAGACATTTGACGAGCGTTATGCCGCTCTTTCTGAGGCTGCTGTTGCAGCGGCTACCGCAGCAATCGCTGCGGCGAGACCCCAGGGAGGTGATGCGTCACTGTTTCGGGAGTTCAGCAACACCAAACCACCAGAGTTTGATGGTACACAGGATCCGGTGGCAGCTATGAGGTGGATATCTGATATGGAGGGGTGCTTCTTCACTTGCTCATCCCCTGAGCATTTGAAGGTTCGGTTCACGCTGAACCAGCTTCGCTTGGGAGTGAAGGACTGGTGGAAGTTTGTGACGGCGCATTTCACGCCTGCTGAGCTTTCGGCAGTGACCTGGGAGAGGTTCACTACCATGTTCCGAGATAAGTATGTTCCCCAGGTGGAGAGGGAGCATTTGGTATAGGAGTTTCTGACCCTCAAGCAGGGTACTGAGTCAGTTACAACGATCACGAGGATGTTTCATGAGAGGGCGATGTTCTGCCCTGAGCACGTGTCCACTGAGCAGGCACGTATGAGCCGCTACCTGAGCATTTTGAGACGGGATATTCGGGAGTTCGCTGCGACCTCCTCGTATCGGACATTTGCTGAGCTTCAGGCAAATGCCCGGAAGAGGGAGATTGAGCTTGAGACTCAGGCCAGGGAGGAGGCGGAGTCTCTGGGGAGGGATCGGCGACCGGCACAGCTCCAGCCGGCAGCCAAGCGGGTCAAGCCTGCTGATCCCAAACCCGGGAGCCAGAAGGGCCGCACTTGCGGGAAGTGCGGCAAGGGTCACGATGGAGTCTGTCGAGCAGGATCTTGCTAAAATGTGGCAAGGAGGGGCATATGGCCAAGGACTGCCCCAAGGGGTTTGCAGTGTGTTTTCACTGCAACCAGACCGGACACCGGAAGGCGGAGTGTCCGCTGGTGCGTGGAGCGTCTCAGGGATCTGCTCCCGCCGCCATCAGAGCTACAGAGAGTCGGTCTGTGAAGGTCGAGGCACCGAGAGCTCGAGGGAGAGCCTTTCAGCTGACTGCAGAAGAGGTCTGCGCTGCACCCGACGTTGTGGCTGGTACGTTTCCTTTTATATATTTATTTTTGGTGTTGAGATATTATGCTTATATTATGCTATGCATAGGTACCTTCCTTGTGAACTCTGTGCTTGCTTTAGTGTTATTTGACTCGGGTGCGAGTCGGTCTTTTGTATCTTTGGCCTTTAGTCAGCATATCAGTGTTAGTCGTGAGGCATTGAGGTGCTGTTTGTTTTTTCGAAGTGAATCTGTCTGAAGTCGGCGGACCACCTCTGCAGACCTCTGCAGCAGAAGAGGTGGACCAAAGTGCTGCAGACTGTAATGAGAAGCATGTTTGTTTTCTTAACGTCTGCAGACTGCTGCAGATATTAAAAAATTTAAAATAAAGTAATTTAATAAACCGAAAATAGTTTGTTAATACCAAAAATTTAATAATTGTAGTCTTAAAACATTGAAATAAAATTCAAACAACGAAATTAGTCTTACAATAACATTTTTAAATAAAATTCATACAACCAAACTTTAATAATTTTCATTCCATATTTTGCATCAATTGTTCGGCAATTTCATCCCGTAACTGGCTCATATATTCACGGTCCGCAGCAGTACCATGTGTTGGAATCTCATCTTCATCATTATCAATGACCCGCATTGTTATTCCGAACCGAGACATTTGGTTCATCATATCGTGCAAAAAACTCATCACGTAGTCCCTCTCTTCTTATAAAATTATGAAGCGCAAAACATGCTAGAGTAATGTTTCGTTGTGTAACCAACGAGAATGGTGCCATCCTCTTCAGTATAGGGAATCGTGCTTTCAAGACACCAAAAGCACGTTCAATGACATTCCGAAGTTTTGCGTGTCCATGGTTAAATTTTTCTTTATTCGTTAATGCACGTCTTCGACGGAAATCTCCAAGCCAATACCTAACATTACGGTACGGTGCCATAAAACCTCGAATGTTTGCATAGGCGGCATCACATAGATAATATTTATCTGTAAAAAAAAGTCATTTATTTTCAAATAAAGATAAAACTATTTAAATAACCATAAATTTACCTGGAGGTGGAAGCGGGAATGGTGCATGTGGATTTGCTAATGCTTCTGATAAAATTCTAGAATCGTGTGCTATCCCTTCCCAACCGGCAACAACAAACGTAAACATCATGTTAAAGTCACATATTGCCAATACGTTTTGGTAACAATCGCCTTTTCCCCTACTTCTATATAAATCCTGTTTGTTTGCAGGGACAACAGCATGTATCAAAGTGCCATCAAGTGCACCAACTGCTCCCTTGAACACCCGTCTAGCCTCCTATTATGTCCCGGAATGTTTGGATTCGGATTAAAAGATGTTGGTACTATAATGTCATGTGCGAAAAGCAACATTTTGGCCAACACTTCATGAAAAAACTTATGAATTGTTTGCTTTGAGTGTTGAAATCTCCGCTTGATAATCACATAACGTTGGTTATGACCGATCATCATCAAAAACATAGCCATCTTCTCCTCAACCGACACATGTTTGCTATCCTTTAACGCGTAGTTTACTCTAAAATGAGCACATAGTCGGACAAATGATTCACGAGACATGCGTAACACTTCAAGACATTGTAGAGGATTACGGTGAAGTAACTCTAACGTAAATTCATGTCCTGTCATTTCCGAATCGTTGTCCCGCACTCGTTTGACACCCCTCTTCCAAAAGTAGCGGACATACAAGTACATAAGAATTATGAGTAGTATCTTTTTGTCGTGATCCATTACAAACCTATTAATAAAGAAAACATATAATAACATAAGATAATAATATATCATAAGATAATAATATAACATAAGATAATAACATAAATCTCAAGTACCAAAAAAATATAACATAAATTTCAAGTACCAAAAAACATATCATAAATCCCAAGTAGCAAATAACCAAATAACATTCAAGTACCAAATAACAAAATAACATTCAAGTACCAAAACATATCATAAATCCCAAGTAGCAAATAACCAAATAACATATAAACTTAACGAACAATCTTTCCATCCTTTAAAACTCCTAAACTTGTAGCTGTCATCTCGATCCATCCTCTTAATATTTGTGGATCATTAGGCAAATTTACCCACATCTCTCTAATATTCATGGTCCCTCCAAAAATGTGATACGCAGCAAATCGTATAGGGTCTATTGGGTCTAACTCGAGCAACTCAAGCTTCTCTAAACACTGGGGAATTGTTGGCCCTTGAGTCAAATGGCGTAGAGCTTTTTGCATCTCCAGTGCTAAATCATCAGCAGTAATAGAAGCTTTAGGCGAGGCACAAGAAGGTGGATCAGGTGAGGCACTGGGAGCTCGAGGTCTAGGAGTTGAAGGTTTAGCCCTTTTGTTGGGGTTACCAGAAGGTGAAGCAACATAAGGTGAATCAGCAGAAGGTGAAGCAGCAGAAGGTGGAGTCTGAGTAAAATGTTCACTTGTATGATTGGAAAAAAAATCATCTTCATCTATGTTAATGGAAGGCGCGTCCAAAAGCTGTAATGGTGCGCCATGGAAAGAAGATGATCCCGATGGTGTTTGGGATGTGGCATAGCTGAGATTACCAGATGCACTGCTTCCATCAAAGAGTTCTGCACAAAGCTCTGGAAACAATAATGGGACGGTTTTCAAAGAAGCAGCTTTCGGATGTCCCTAAACGCAATCAATGTAACAAAAGTAATATAAGAATAAATATGTGTGTATGTGTGTGTGTGTATATATATATATATATATGTATATATGTATATATGTATACCTTTTTAAAGTCCTCCCACTCCTCATTTGTTAAGTTAAAAGTATTTGTTTGTGGGTTGTAAAGGTTTCCAGTTTTGTTTTTTAAGTATAACCATCCTGTGTATTTGGCTTTAAGGTTATCATAGGCGTTTTTTAATTGTCGTTGATTCAAATCCACGCCATACTTTTCCTTAATAGTTGTTCCTAACTTGTGCCATGATTGTTTGTGCAAACTCAAACCTTTTCTACCCACGGTTTGCACTTCTTCAATACAAGTTTGCAATAAGCATTTTGTTTGCTCATTGGTCCATGTATGTTTATCTCCCATTGCTAATAACAAAAAAAAATATAGAATACATACTTTAGCTACAAAGATTAATCATATTCCAACATAATCAACAAATAAGTTTAGGATATTCAACAACAATACATCATGAATGAACAAAAAAAAAACAATTAAGCAAAGATTATGATTTTGAAACCGAGGGCATGCAAGAAATCACAAAATTGGTCCTCAAATGCAAAGAATCGGTACTCAAATGCATAAGAAATCACAGAATTTGTACTCAATTTCATACAATCGTTAGTCAAATCAATAAGAAATCAAAAAATAAAAAAAATAAAAAAAATAAAAAATAACTGATCTAGAAACCGAGGGCATGCAAGAAATTTATAATTTATAATATAATCATATATTTGCAATATTGTAAAGCCACTTAACATTGCTGGAATTTGAGATTCCATTGCTGGAATTTGAGACCTCATTGCTGGAATTTGAGATTCTATTCCCACTTAACATTCCTATGTTTGATTCATTCCAAAAGATTACAATCAACATACTTTTTTCCTACTTTTATGCATACTTTATACAATGGTATTGGAATTTGAGATTCCATTCCCACTTAACATTCCTATGTTTGATTCATTCAAAGAATCGGTACTCAAATGTATAAGAAATCACAGAATTTGTACTCAATTTCATTGAATCGGTGCTCAAAGAAATCAGAAAAAAAAAAAAAATTACCTATGAAGATCGAGGGCAGCAGCAAGAGGCGTAGGCGACCGGCGATGGAAACCGGCGATGGCTGGCGGCGGAGGCGACCGGCGATGGCCGGAGGCTGGAGTCGTCGGACCGAGAAGAAGCCGAGAAGAAGAACAGGAAAGAAAAGGCAGCGACACTTTTTTTTTTATTTAGGGCATAGAGTGATTTTTTAGATGAGGTTAGAAGTAGTTAGAAGAGGTAAGCCCACTGCTGTGTGGGGAAGAGGACGGGAAGAGGTTTTTAAGCCCGAAGTCTGCAGAAAAACAAACAGCTGCGAACCTAAAAGTGCTGCGCGTGTGCTGCGCCACGCAGCACTAAGAGGTTAGAAGAGTTTTTTTCTAAAAAACAAACACAACCTGAGTCGGCCTCTGCGGGTTTCCATAGCCGCCGACAGAGTGATTTGTGCCACGGAGGTCCTCCGGGGATGTGTGTTAGAGATTTTTGGGGTTGAGTTTCCGATCGATCTGGTTCCTATTGCGATGGGTGATGTCTGTGTCATAGTGGGCATGGACTGGTTGAGCCGATTCGGCGTGGTTATCGACTGCGAGCGTCAGCTGGTGATCATACGAGATCCTAGTGGGGGAGTTCTTTCAGTATACGGCGAGGGTACACGTTCTGGATCAGCCTTTTGTTCGGCCGCTAGGGTGAGGCAGTGTTTATAGCAGGGCTGTAAGGGTTTTGTGGCGTATGTGATGGATACGCGAGTGATCTCCGAGAGACCGAGTTCAGTGGATGAAGTTCCGGTGGTGCGTGAGTTTCCAGATGTTTTTCCTGAAGAATTACCAGGTGTGCCTCCCGTGAGGCAAGTGGAGTTCGGTATCGATTTGGTTCCGGGAGTCGCGCCTATCGCTAAGGTGCCTTATCGCCTTGCACCTCCAGAGATGAAAGAGTTATCCTCACAGCTTCAAGAGCTGCTGGGGAAGGGGTTTATTCGGCCGAGTAGCTCGCCGTGGGGAGCACCCATTCTGTTTGTGAAGAAGAAGGACGGCTCACATTGAATGTGTATTGATTACCGAGAATTGAATAAGCTGACGGTCAAGAACCGTTACCCGTTGCCGAGGATCGACGATTTATTCGATCGGTTGCAGGGAGCATCTTGGTTCTCCAAGATCGATTTGAGGTCGAGCTATCATCAGGTGAGAGTGCGAGACGGGACGTCCAGAAGACAGCATTCAGGACGCGTTATGGGCATTATGAGTTTGTGGTGATGCCTTTTGGGCTCATCAATGCCCCGGCTGTGTTCATGGACCTCATGAACAGGGTATGCAGGCCGATGTTGGATCGGTCGGTGATTGTGTTCATGGACCTCATGAACAGGGAAGTTCTTGGAGTTTTGAGATCGGAGAAACTTTATGCAAAGTTTTCCAAGTGCGATTTCTGGTTGCGGGAGGTCCAGTTTCTGGGGCACCTCGTTAATCAGAAAGGGATATTGGTCGATCCGGCCAAGGTTGATGCGGTGATGAGATGGGAGGTGCCAAAGTCACCCTCTGAGATCAGGAGCTTCCTTGGGTTGGCAGGGTACTATCGGAGGTTTATCAAGGATTTCTCCAAGATCGCAGTGCCACTCACCAGATTGACCCGGAAGGGTGTTACATTTTTATGGGGTCCCGAGCAGCAGACCTCCTTTGAGACGCTTCACCAAAGGTTGTGCGAAGCTCCGGTATTAGCTTGATGTGTGTGAAACCAACTAGTTTTAATCCTATTAACTTAAACACAAAGACAAACACACGAAAGGCAGTGTACCTATCGATTAGCAGTTTAGTTCAGGTAAGTAGGGTATCGAACACAGGGAACGGTAAACAATTAAAATAGATGCTAATATTATCTAAATAATACAAGTAATAGAAAGAGTTTTCTCTAGTTTTGCAAGACTAGAAATTTAAACAATTAACTAAAACTTAAACTAAGAAACTAAGAGCTAAGCAAATAAAAATCAACTAAATTCAATAATAAATAGGACTTCTGTTTAGGTTCGACTCATTTGTTCCCATGGATGATTTTATGGTAAATATATCGGATTAATTCTTCATTGGTTACCGACTAAAGTGATTAGATTCACATTCGCTGTATCTAATCCTTAGAAAACAGATTAATTCAAGCAATGGCCAGTTGTCTAAATTAATGAATTTCCTAGTTTGTTGATTCGAGTTTAGAAAGACTTGTAATTAGCTAATCAAATTGGTGATTCAATTAACCTCTTGTTGATGGTGTATCACACAAGCTCACACATTAACTTACCTATCTTCAAGTTAATTCTAGTTTCACATTCGTTATTCCTAGACATACAACTATGTGGTCACGTAAATCATATGAAATTAGCAACTAAGAGATGTTCATACAACTTAATTACTGATTTATTAACAGAAGAATAGTTATTGTTAACACATAAGGTTCTTTAACAAGCTTAATAAAACATAATCACCAATTAAAATTAATCCTAATCAAATAATCAATCCATGTTCACAAATTCATCTACCTAAACAGAAGTTATGAGTTTTTAGCTCATCATTACAATGGAAACAAGCACAAAAACGAAATCAATTGGTAAAAACATAGTTCAAACAAGAGATTAGGTAAGAGTAAACTTGATTTTGACTTGATTCTCCTTAAAATTGAATGTAGGGTTGATTCCCTTGCTTCCCACGCTCTAGCAGCACCTTTAGTCGACAATTGGCCTCCAAGGGTTCATCTCTCTCCTAGGGTATCGATCTGAAAGTCCCTTTATATAGATTTTCACAAAACAGGGGCTACTCGGCGAGTCCAGTGACCTACTCGGCGAGTACGTCACTTAAAACCCGTGTACGGCAAGTCTGCGCGTCCAGAATCGCGAAACTTCAGACCAACTCGGCGAGTAATCGACCCTACTCGCCGAGTACGTTTGGAATCAGCATTTTCTCAAAACACGAAAGTCATCCGAAATTGTGTCTAGTTTTCAAAACATTTTGAATCTCATCAATCGGAGTTACAGTTCATGAGATATGGCCAAAACACTGATGAGGGGTCAAGCTGTCCAGCAACGTCCTTCTTTCTTCAAAATCCATGATCCAAGCGTCCAATCGCTAGTTCCGCTTCATTTTCCTTTCGAGCATGTATTTGTTGCTGAAAATGAAATATTTAATCTAATTAAGCACCTTTTGTTCATTAAATGAGACAAAATCAACATAAAGTATTAAGATAATGCATGAATTTTATAACTAAATATGCCCATATCATAGCTCTTCCGGAAGGGATGGAAGATTTTATGGTATTCTGTGATGCATCGATTTTAGGGCTGGGAGCGGTGATGATGCAGAAGGGACATGTGATAGCATATGCATCGAGGCAATTGAAGCCTCATGAGACGAGATATCCCACACATGATTTAGAGTTGGGGGCAGTGGTGTTCACTCTCAAGATTTGGCGGCACTACTTGTATGGGGTTCATTGTACGATATACACAGACCATAAGAGCTTGAAGTACTTGATGGATCAGCCTAACCTAAATATGCGGCAGAGGAGGTGGTTAGATGTAGTCAAGGATTATGATTGCGAGATCTTGTACCACCCGGGCAAGGCTAATGTGGTAGCCGACACATTGAGTCGCAGGGCGGAGAGTACTCCACTGCGAAATGTGTGTTTGAGATTGACCGTGATAGCTCCAGTTCTGGACGCCATTCGTGGGGCACAGGCTGAGGCTGTGCATCCGGAGATGCAGAAGAGAGAACGGGTTGTTGGTTTGGTTTATGAGTTTGTGTCGGATAGTCGAGGGCTTATGACTTTTCAGGGCCGGATTTGGGTACCGTTTGTGGGCGGTACGCGTACTACATAGATGGAGGAAGCTCATAGATCGAAATTTTCGATCCATCCCGAGGCTACAAAAATGTATTTGGATTTGAGGAAAGAGTATTGGTGGCCTTGTATGAAGAGGGACATCGCATGGTTTGTCGAGAGGTGTTTGACGTGTCGAAGGGTGAAGGCTGAGCACCAGAGACTGCATGGCAAGTTGCAGCCATTGGAGGTTCCCGAGTGGAAGTGGGAACATATCACTATGGATTTCATCACCAAATTGCCGAGGACTACCAGAGGAGTTGATGCAATTTGGGTGATTGTGGATAGGTTGACGAAGAGCGCTCACTTTCTTGCCATCAGTGAGAGTTCTTCGGCGGAGAAGTTGGCGGAGGTTTATGTGAGAGAAGTAGTATCTCGGCATGGGGTGCCGATCTCGATTGTTTTGGACCGTGATGTGCGCTTCACTTCCCGCATCTGGAAGAAATTTCATGAGGAGTTGGGTACTAAGCTGCATTTTA